GCACATTGCACTGGCGCTGAGCACAGATCTGCAAGGTCAGGAAGCCCAGAAAGGGAAGATCAGAAAGATGACATGAGCGTCACTGACACCACCCTAAGGCAGCACAGCCTGAACCCGAGAGGCATGCTCCATCCACTCATCTCTCGCAGTATTTCTGCCTACAGAATCACACCCAACTTTCTTGCATGGTTAAATACTGAATAGTTTCCATAAAATGAGGGTTCAATGAGATCAATTTACTGGAGCGGTCCAAGTGATATATTTACATAAGCCTGTGCAATGTACTCATCAGTGAATGTATTTGAGGTGGACCAGACTACCATAGCATTTGGTTGCTTAAAAATTTGTCAGTTCTGTGTCTTCAGAAAGACCCTTGGATGAAGAAAAAGTGTTACTGTACCATTACAAGGAACAGAGGAGACACTCTGAACACATCTCCTCCATCCTCCAGCCCATTCATGCACAAGCCCTGGCTGTAAGTGATCTGCTTTGGCCAGCGCTGCAGCCGTCCTTGCCTATCAGTCTCTCTCTTCCCCTCCCCACATGGCTGGCATCCTGCACAGTGTTTCAGGCTCTGGATTTTAAGAGAAGCCTATTACATGAACACAAATCCCACATTAATTTAAATTCTAGGTGATTAGTTGAGTAGGAATGTCAGAATTTAAATAAATAATTAAATGAATTATAAGATTATAACAAAAAAAACAACCTGCTCCCCAAAACACAACTTTGTCACAACCACCAGCTCCTCTCCAAGGTGATGTGCTCTTCCCCTTCCATCTGCCACTCTCCTGGACTTGCTGGCTAATCATACTTTACGGACACGAACAGAGCTAGATTCAACCCAGGGTTCATACCCATATATTTACTATTCACACTTTTAGAAAATCAGGTTTTCTGATTTCCTCACCCTCTGCAACCCAAAGGTTTCCTCCTGTCTGCCTCATCACAAGCCAGTTGCACTTACTGCTCTGGTTATTAAATCTGTCTGGCTGTTTGGGTTCAAAGGGAGAAATAAAATAATCAGAAACTGTTTACCTTCTGGGACTCTCTCCTTCTTAGGATATGAATAGAAAGCTAAACTGTTATGTCAGGAAAAACAAGCAGGGTTGCACATTTTTAGAAGAGGTGTGTCAGATTAATGTGGCATTCAGAAATTGTGCAGGTGCCAACACGGGAGGCAAATACAGCATGTTATATAAAATAATAATTTTATTTTAATTCTTTTGGAATAAGATTATAACATCCACTTCCTCAACTACTTATTCTCTGTTTAATATTTTAGCCTGACTTATTAAGTCTTCTCTCTTGCTTGCTAGCTAATGGTATGGTACAGTTATAATAGTTCAAACACTCCTATTCATAAAGGATTTTATTACTTGATTTGTACATCAAGCTTCAACAAACTTCAAAAAAACCATGAAACACCACAATTGGATTTAACACGAATATTTGCATATGTCCAACTATATTTCAGTTTCATTATACCACAGTAATAACTACTCCATTGAAGACATGGAAATCACCCTTGTCCCAAAACTGCCAGGACATTCAAGCCCAGAAGCCCAATGAAACACACAGAACGACGGACTTGTGCTACCAGAGCTGCCAAATGCTGGGGGCCTGCACCTCTGTACCACAGCAAAAGAGGGGAAAAAAAGCCTACTTACTTCACCTTACTAAAAATTACAGCTAAAAGGGCCCCCTGGACTATCTGGTGAAACCATCTGTAATTACTCTGACCTCTGCCATTGCACAGCCCACTGCCCATATCCTCACTGAAAACCGAGTTAAGGCTGTATGAACAATAGTGATTCGCTCCATCTGATTTGAAAACTTTCAGACACGGGAAACCCAAAGGTTCCTTAAGCAGCTGATCCATGGATCTTTAAAAATTAATGTCTGATTATGACTACATTGAGTTTGCCCTCTGCTTCCAGTCATCGATTCTTATTTTTCTTTCTGTGACTAAAAGGCCATTTACTTCTCCCCCATGACAATACTTCTTTAATGTAATCTAGTCACCTGCCAAACAAAATCTCTAACTCTGATGCCTCTCTCCAGCCTTTAAATCATTTTTCCACTATCCAATTTTTCAACTTCCTTTTAAAAAATATTGACATCAGGCATGGAAAAACAAAATAACACAGCAGTAGGAAGTACCAGTCCCTCTGGCAGGTACTCTTCCTTACATGCCACACTAATCCCTCATATCACAGCAGTCCACTATGGCCTCAGGTTAAGATGTTTCATCTAAATATCTAAAACCTTTTTAAATCACTGTTTCTTGAGGTGCAAATCATACCCGCAGAACTGCATGTCTCTAACTGGCTGTCTAAGCCTGTGTCTGGTGGTGCTGAAAACCAGTTCGTTTGACCTCAACTCACCAACAGATCCAGCTTATTCTGGGAAAATGCCCAGTCATTGTTTTTAATCACCTTATTATTTCTTTACGTCATGCAGAAGCTTTACTAGCAACATTTATACTTTTATTTTCACATCACTGAGATCCATTTGATTAGTATCACATCTAAGGCCAGTTGCTGTTGCACTTGTTGATCAACCTTAACCCACTGACAAAATCCTACTGCGATGAACTGAGGGAGGAAATTCACAATACTTTAGATTGGTTTTAATCCATTCAGAAAAACTTTGAGAAACAAAGTAGAAAAGAAAAAAATCCCATCTTGTTGCCAGTGCTGATTTTTTAATAAATCCCACTTAGGATCAGATGATGCATAAAGGCCATATTGTGCCTGTTGTTCCACCCGGGTAACTGATTTTCATCAGGCACTTCAGGACTTACTGGTAATTTCTTCAGTCTTTTTAACACCCTCAATGCCTTAAAGAACACAGGTGTGAAAATCTCTTCCATTTTCCATTTTTCTTGCACTAAGGGACTTTTCAACAGAAACCAGGATGACTCAGCTGAATACGTCTGGAGTAACATTTCAAATGAGAAAGTACACCAATAATTAGCCCATTCAAACTCAGGAAAAAAATCAGAGGGGGTTGATTAGGTCTCGGGTGAATGCCTGCAAATTTTTGCCAATAGTGAAAATGATGATAAAAAGCATTCTGACACTGTTGCTTGACAACCCCAGCCTGCACTGTTTACCTGGGACTTATGTATTGCATACATTGTTAAGAATCAAGCAACAAGAATTACAGCTTGTTCTGAATCAGTGTGCGGCAATCTCCAGAGAAAGAGAACACTTGTTCAAAGACATATTGAGAAATTTTGACCAAAATTGCATTTAAAAGCTGTTCTTAATTGTGTCTACTGTCTACGCTTAAAGTGAAAATTGCAGAATGCTGGATCATTTGGGCTTTTTTTTCCCCCTCCCTTTATTGATGCTGGATTTGCCCAAGGCTTATCAAAAGAGAACAGGCCAGAAAGGCGGGGGAAGAGCACTCAGATATCACTTGGCTTACCAGCAGCAGGGATGCCACAGGGCTTACATCTATCTCATCTGCCCCCCAAAACAAATAGCCTTCACCAGTGTGAGGTGGGGAAAAAATAAATAATCATGGTAGATAGGAAGGAAAAATCAGCAATTTCCAGCTAAAGGCATAACCGCCCAATTCAGACTGGCTAACATAACATGTTCCTGCTGGTTCAGTACAGTAGTGCCTCAGTGAGACTTCACGGTCCAAGCAAAGTCCACCTCTACAGTGATAATCTTCCATCAAACTTGCATACCTATTACTTATTGGCGTTCAGAAGAATAAGCTGATACGTCATTTTAATCAGAATAATAAACATTATCCTGTTATAAAATGCTTAAATACAATACAGATTGTACAGGAAAAGACATTAATACCACTTCATATACTGCCTGAATCCAAGATATTCCCTATAATAACCAGTCCTTTTTTATCCTTCAAAGAAACTAAGAATTTTCTATAAATATAATTATTTGGAATCCCTCATACACATTTACACCACCTGCTCCAAAGAAAGGTTTGTATTTACATACTTACTCAAGTCTACATCAAAGATAAGCCTGTTATGGAAATCAGTTGAGACCAGGCACAGAGGAGATGTAAATTACTTTTGGTTGTTTCTGACTTAGGCTTGTGAATTGAACAAGAAGCACATTTTTGCTCAAGCCCATGAAATCCTCCGTCATTCTCGGAAGTACAGCAGAAGTATGACACTGGGGAGGGACGACACACAGTAGTTTTGCTATTTATCAGTCGTGCAGTAAAACCACTATAAATACCTGAAGCCACTACTTGAAGATCAAAGACACATTTTTTTTTCCTCAAAAAGCCTGCCAGTCAAAAACCATTA